AGCTGAGCCGGACCTTTCAGACTTGAGTCACTTTTTCAGTCAGTATCAACTACTTGTTCGATTTTTTAAGTTAAGGGAATTAACAGGGATGGAGAGGAGGAGAATTATCCCTAGTGAACTCGTAAGTATAAAATCGGCTGGTTCTAAATGCTGCTGTACTTCAAAGCTGCTTTAATACACTGTTCCACAAAAGATCGAAATTTTGAAGATAATTACAAGGCAGAGTGAGTGGACGAGAGAGGAAAAGGAGAGGAAGGAGGAAGCAGCACCGTAGAATAAAACAATCAAATAAAGCGGGGAAAAACGAACTAAATCAAATGCTTACTGCACTTTCGACGCCCCTGAAATGCTTTTTGCTGCAGTTATACCAACTGCTGCAGTTTTCATATGAAAATCTGTTACTGTCAGAGTCTTCGCCAAATCGTCCTCCTCATCTACAACAGATTGTGTGTAGTAAATATGCACAAATATACAGACTGCATTTCCTGACCGACATTTCAGCTATCCCCCACCACAGTCTTTCTATGCCACAGAGCCCTTTCCAATTGTTCATTTGATCCCACTTTTCTCACCTGTTTCTTTCATTTTTGCATAATTTTTAATTCGATTATTACGTACAAAGGGTCAACTAGTCGCTTTTTGACGAGACACTGGTTAGCACTGCAACCGGAGTCTGGTACCTGCGGAAACTCCCAAAGAGCTAAGTCCTAACGCATCTCCTTCTACGTCTGTTACCCGTTATACAGCAGTCTAGGATCAACAACATGTAGGTTGAGGTACAGAAACAGAAATCTAGCAGTACGGTTTAAAAAAAGAGGGCATGGAAACGATCAACTGAACCGAATGATTCAGAATAAGTTACAGCAACAGTGGGGAGGTTAGCAGCTAATCAATGATGAGATATGCTGCGCTGGAACAATAGCTGTTTATAGCTGTTTAGGCCTTTGAAATTCTCTAAAAAAAATAAAAAAAAAAAAAAAAAAAACGAGAAAGGGTTTGCTAAACTGATGCAAATGCACGTCCGGTCCAAACACTCCTTGGCAAACGTATAATTTTTTCTTGATAGGACTTACCAAATTTGAGCTGCGTATCGCCGGTGCACAGTGCTTTCTCGACACAACGCAATTCATGTTCGTCCAAAACCCGTAGTAAATCACGAATTTTCACCAGCAAACTGTGAAATGCGCGAAACATTTCCGAAAGTGTCTCGGGATCAGCATCCACATTCAATGCTCCTTCCGGACAGAACAAAAGGCCACTGAAACTTTGTGCAGTTCAAGACATAATGCATCCAGTGATCTGAACTACAGCGCCGTCAGTGTAAAACTCTGAGTGTCAGTTCTACAAAACACTTGAGCCTTTTCTCTACCTTCCCCTACTTTTGAATCAAGAAAACCGGACCCTTCTTCCTGTAAACTTTCGAAATAGAGTATTCAAAACAAAAACAACAATAGAAGTGAAACTGGGATTTAAAAAAAAATCTTTCTAAAGAACAATTTTAGAACACGCAGGGCTTATTTTG